TGGACTGTATGGAGTGTATGGACTGTATGGACTATACGGACTGTATGGACTGTATGGACTATATGGACTGTATGGACTGTATGGACTATATGGACTGTATCGACTGAGAGTGAGCGGTACATTTTGAAACTTTTTCCAAGATATTGGCTTTAAAAGTTACATAATGACAACAATTCCAAAGGCAACTAGAGAGCGTTTCAGTTAACTGTGAGTAGTTTCTGTAACTGACTGACAAAGTGCTCAAGAGATAAAGTACAACCCCATTCCCAAAAAAGTTGCGACGCTGTGCAAAATGTAAATAAAAACGACATGCAAATAATTTTATACCCTATATTTCATTGAAAATAGTACAAAGACAACATATCATATGTTGAAACTGAGGAATTGTTTTTTGAAAAATATATGCCCAGTTTGAATTTGATGGCAGCAACACGTTCCAAAAAAGTTGGGATGGGGGCCTGTTTACCACTGTGCTTCATCACCTCTTCTTTTAACAACACTGTGTAAGTAATATGTGCAGAATGTGGTTTTACATTGTCTTGCTGAAATAATCAAGGCCTTCCCTGAAAAAGACGTTGTCTGGATGGCAGCATATGTTGCCAAAACATGTATATATTGTTCAGCATTAATGGTGCCTTCACAGATGTGCACGTCACCCATGCCATGTGCACTAATGCCCCCTTATACCATCATGAATACTGGCTTTTGAACTGTGCACTGATAACAAGCTGAGTGGTCTTTAGCCCACAGGACACAGTGTCCATGATTTCCAAAAAGAATTTCAAATGTTGATTCGTTGGACCACAGGACACTTTTCCACTTCGCCTCAGTCCATTTTAAATGAGCTCAGGCCCAGAGAAAGTGGCAGCATTTCTGGATCCTGCTTATATATGGTTTCTACTTTGTATTTTAGAGTTTTAACTTGCATTGGATGGATGCAGTGATGAACTTTTTTCACAGACAGTGGTTTTCAGAAGTGTTTCTGAGCCCATGAAGTGATTTCCACTTCGGAATCATGTCTGTTGTTAATACAGTGCCGCCTGAGGGCCCAAAGATCTTGGCTGGCAAATACTGGTTTTCAGCCTTGTCCCTTGTATACAGAAATTTCTTCAAATTGTCTGAATCTTTTGATGTTATTATGTACCGTAGATGATGAAATCCCCAATTCTTTGCTATTTTACGTTATTCTTCAATTGTTGCACTATTTGCCCACACAGTCTTTCACAGAGTGGTGAACCCCTCCACATCTTTACTTCTCAGCCTCTCTGAGATGCTGTTTTTCTACCCAGTGATTTTACTGAACCACCAGGTGTTTTTTTAAGAATTACACAACTTAACCAGCCTTTTGTTGCCCCTGTCCCAACTTTTTTGGAATGTGTTGCTGGCAGCAAATTCAAAGTGGGCGCATATTTTTCAAAAAACAACATTTCTCAGTTTCAACATTTGACTTTTGTTGTCTTTGTACTATTTTCAATAAAATATAGGGTTTAAATGATTTGCACATCATTGCATTTTGTTTTTATTTATGTTATAAGATTCTAATTTATAAACAATAAAAAAGCCAAATTATTTCAGCTATACTTCAGTCCGCGCCAGTGTTTTTGTCTGCTGTAGAAGACCAGCATGCCTGGCGATCGGGGGACAGAACCAATGAATAAAATACACGAACGTGTAGTTGTTCTGGTTGCTATGGAGACCCTGCATGCTTTAAATCAACACTGTTTTTAAAGTATTAAATGTAATTTTAGAGAAACATTTAATGGTTTCTATGGGTTTTTTCAGCAGGGTAGGCTCATCTCTCCTAGTTAGCTTGGCTAGTTGACTACAGATCCAAATCCAAACAGAGAATAGATTTGATTCCGATTAACCGCTCGGCTGTTACAAGTGTAGACGTTAAAATTCATGCCGAAATCAAACCTGTTCTGTTGTGTTTTGAGCTAACGCCAGCTTAGTTAGCAGGCTAAAGGTGGCATCTACCACAGTACAGGTTGGTTCTAGCTAACTGATGCCCAAACACATTTTCGAGGATAAAGACTCAGACAGCTGGAATGTTATGTTGTGTGTGGTGATTAGCCTGTTAGCCGTTGCTGAGCCACTGTCTTGCGTAGTTGTTCTTCTGAACTTCCAGGTTCTGATTTAGCAGCACAGCAGATGGAAAAAGAAACTATAATCGCTCTCAGAAGCCCACACCAGCGCAGTTTGGCTGTGGGAATCATTTGGTCCAGTGGAAAGGAGCCCTAAAGGCCTCAGCTACTTCTTGCGAAACGAAATTCTCGAGGGTTGTGCGAAGCCGTTTTTGGCTTACAAACTCGCATACTTTCTGCGGGTTCGTGTCGCCTGTCCCGGATGCTCCACGTCGCTATGACATTTTATGATAAGTTTCATGACTGCTGGAAAACGATTCTTTCACTGTTCTAACTATGGCGACATTTGAGTTCAGAATACCGTCACTATTTAAGGTGGAATGGGGAAATTCAAACAAGAAGGTGGAGAATAGAAAACCAACTTCAGCCTCGTCCTCTTGTGAACCTAAACTACTGAATAGTAGACTAAATATCTTACATTTAGGAGGTATTCATTGTTTATTTAATAAATGCGCGTTTCTTAGTGAAATATTAGTGTATCTGCCAAAGCAGAAGCTCCCCAAAGTTGTCCATCTTTGTTTCATGACATGCCTCTTTTTTACCGACCAATCAGAGGCTTTGTCGTGTAGCGTCTTCGTCCGCGGAGTTCACCCAGCTGCCATGTGCAGGGCGAACAAAGCCTCCGCGCGACGTCTGCGGTTGTTCGTTTTCTCCACAATTATGTCACATTATTCACTGAAGCCAGGCGAACATCGTCTCTGCAGGAAGCCTGCTGAGGCCTTAAGTGCTCTCCTGACCATACATGGCTGTGGCAAACTAGTGATCTTGTGAAGACAGGGCAGATGCTTAGACCGTTGCTCCAACCTGTTGTTGTGAACCTACATGTGGCTTTTGAGTTTTTATAATGAATGTTGATGATGGTAAAGTCTGAAAAAAATGTTTTCTTTGAGGAAATTGATAAAACTGTGGTAAATCTGAAAAAAAAAAATGTTTTGGAGGGATTACTTTGCCTAACAACACCCTGCATGTACGACTCCACCAAGAACGATTTTTAAAATACTGCCTTTAGACCAAAATACTGCCTTTAGACCAAAACCGTCTCAAAACTATTTTAAACAAGAAATCAGTCCAATTCCTGGCCTACAAACGTTAGCAAATCATTCTGGTGTGTCGACTTATAAAAAATAACTTATAAAAAATAAAAAAAGAGAGAAATCTGCTCTCATGGTTTGCAGTCTTCAAGCATTTATCATCTAGTTTCTTGATTTTCAGGACTATTGTAAAACAACGTCTCAGTCATCAGGCAGTGAATTCATAACCATTTCATGTAGTAACTTTCTGTGAGGGAGCTTTTAGAGGTGGACGTCTGGTTCCTATCACCACCACTGTGAACAGTTCTGACTTGGTAAATTCCTTTTAATAACTTCAGAGCAATGGGAAGTACAAAACTATAAAAAGGGTACTTAGCAACTGATTTGTAGAGTCCAGCTTGTGTTATCATAAGCTTTTGATTAAGAAAAGATGAAAAGATGAGCATAATATTCCTAATATCATCACACTCCTTTTCCATACTTTGAAAACAGACTGCAACGTAAGCTGCATGATAAGCAGTGTACAACCACAAAGATCAAAAACATTGCATATTAATGAGCTCTTCTCCATTCCGTACAAGCACTGTCTACTTACTGTACCTCCGAAGTCGTGCCATCATTCTTCAGTTGTCTGTGTTGGGAACTCTGGGTCTAAGCTGGTTTTCTCTATGGGATTTCTGGCATTATGGCATTTTCAAAAATTGCCGCTGTGGTAAATAAACTTGTTCCAAAGCTGATATATTTTGTCCTGTGTACATTTTTCCTCCAAACGTTACTGGACCCGCTGAATTATGAGGTGGTTTAGCAGTCAAAATATGAACAATTCTACATACATGCTACAAACAGGCTAACGCTCCTGCACACTGAAGCCGTATATAATTAGGTCTAAACTTCAACACTGTTATATCTCAACACCAGCTACTCAAACCGCAGCCTAAAACTGCCAGACGCCTCTAAAATACCACACTGGATAAACCTCACTGGTTTGTGTGCGGTATTTTGGTGAGGTCAGTCTTGATGCTAATTCAGTGTGCAGCAGTGTTAGCGCACATGAAGCAACAGTCATAGTTCTGCTCCATCACGACCTTGTAATTCAGAAGACCCAGGAATGTTCAGAGGAAAAGCGTACGTGCGACAAAACTGGGTTCGGAACATGTTTTTTTTTTATCACAGGACGCAACAGTGACGATTTTTTGAAAACATTACTAATTTTCCCCTTTTTATCAGAAACTCGCCCCTGTAGCTTCTCCTTACTGGTGTGCACACAGTTTGTGGTAGCCATCCTGTAGTCCTTCATCAATGCTCGGTTGGCCTGGATATTTTTGGGTGGACGCTCCACTTTCAACCTAGCAGTGCCGCTGATCTGTTTCCACATTGATATCTGGACAACATCCAAATAATATCTGGACAACAGCAGTCCTGCGGTCAGAAACTGACCAATGATGAATGAGGTACAGGGGCCTGATAAACTGTACTGCAACAGATGGACTACTGTCTGTAACTGTACACCTACATAGTGGAGCTATAAGATAGCTGTTTCTAATAAAGTGGCCAGCGAGTTGAAGCACAAGGTAGGTGTTTCTAATAAAGTGGCCAGTGAGTGGAAGGACAAAGTGAGTGTTTCCAATAAAGTGGCCAGTGACTAGAAGTACAAGGTGGATGTTTCCAATAAAGTGGCCAGTGAGTGGAAGTACAAGGCAGGTGTTTCTAATAAAGTGGCCAATGAGTGGAAGCACAAAATGGGTGTTTCTAATAAAGTGGCCAGTTAGTGGAAGCACAAGGTGGGTGTTTCTAATAAAGTGGCCAGTGAGTGGAAGCACAAGGTGGGTGCTTCCAATAAAGTGGCCAGTGAGTGGAAGCACAAGGTAGGTGTTTCTAATAAAGTGGCCAAAGAATGTATGTGCGTTAGATTTGGAATTAAGGTTTATCTGTTGTCGGAAATCCATTACATAGCCTGAATACAGCTGCCAAAAATGTTGCCTGTGTGTAAAGCAGTCTTTAGTTAAGTTAAACATTCCCAGTTTTTAATTGTCATTTTCATAAAAATACGGTTATTTCAAAACAATAATGCTAAAAAAGGAATGGAAATGGACTTAAATAGGGTTTAGAGCAAAAAATGAACACTACTCTGTTCATTAATGCTGGAATGAAGTTAAAAAAAAGCATGTCATCCAATTATGAGAAAGGAGTGCATCAGTGACAATGTTAGTGCCTTTCTCTAAAGGTAAAATACAACTTCTCCATACAAAAATAATATTTTTACATTTACAGCAATGTCCAAAAACACAAAGATGAAAGAATCCAGCAGTTCAGTTACAATTTTCTTTACATGTTTGCCTCCTGCTTTGCTTCATGACTCATCCGGACTCAGTTTGTCCCAGCAGTACAGCTTTTCTCCAGCAGATGGCGCTGTGGCTCCATCTTTTCTTATTAAACCCCAGCAGACGGAGGCATCCAGTGTCTGTGTCTGGCCCTCCATTTTCTTGAAGGTGGCTTCAGGCTTATGATGAAAGGACTCATCTGCCAACACGGTGCAGTGCTGAAAGCGAAGAAGCCGTCTGGGAGGGTTTGGAAGCGTGAATGTTGGTCTAACAGGCCTGAGCCATGTCTGTAATGAGCAATTCCAGCTTTCCGGAGATCAGCCGGTCGAAGTGCCTCAGAACCACCCCGAAATCCTGAGAGTTCTGCCCCAGACAGACCGGATCCTGGGCGCTCTCTGACTCCCCCTGCTGGATAAGGCAGAAAAAGAGGCTGTGAGTAGCTCCGCCCCCTTGTCATTTTCTCCACCTGTGTCTGTTTACAGGAGCATCCACCTAGCTTATATCTACACTCGCTGGCCACTTTATCAGAAACACCTACTATATACAATACTGTGCAAAAAGATTAGTGACTACCCTTCATTTATTTTAATTTCCAGCCAAAACAGCCGGTTTGTAACAGTCAGGAGATCAGATATAAAATAATCCACTTGCATAAGGAAGAAGAAAGTCAAAGAAAACTAACTGAGTTTCCAAAACTGGAGTTCAAAAACTGATTTAAAGCTACAGAGAAAATGGGGCTCCTAACAACCACCTGGAAGACCTGGTAGACCCCAAAACTGCCCCCCATCAGATAAACGGCACTTAAAGCTTTCATCTCTGAGAGAGAGGAGAAAATCAAGCTGCTTCAGATCTGAAAACATCCACAGGTGTTTCTGTCCATCCTTCCACTGTGAGAAGACGACTCAGCGCTGTGGGTCTGAAAGGATGTGTAGCTGTCAAGAAGAACCTCACTGAGAAAAGGAGACGGACACATCAAACAAAGAAGCTGAACGATGGACTGACCACCCCAGAGTCCAGACCTCAACACCACTGAATGTGTTTGATTACTTCAGAAAATCTAGAGACTTCAGCACACATGAGCGGCACCTCGCCAGCAGCAACTGCAGGGTGAATGGTGGGGAAAGTGAAGGGCAACTGGGAGAAATGCCGTTGCTGCTTCTGCCATCTGTGGCAGTGCCAACCTTGATGTGGTGATATTTGAGGAGACCTGCTGCGCTCAGGAGGAGCCACAGCGGCAAAGACGTAGCCAGGGTGAGGACTGGGGGCGCTCACCACCAAGAGCAAGTGCCCCACGGTGCTTGTGCTGGCCAAGACGCCGCCTGCCCCAGCTATTTGGCTTGGGTTGTGTAGGTCGTCGGGATGGTTGACCTTCATGGGGGGGTTATGTGGCGACTGTCTTTCTCCAGTTTGCAGAAGGAGCTCTAGAGTCTTGACATGCAGAGATTCATGATTTGGTGTTGTCAATGTTCTCGTTCTTTGATTTAGCGCTATGTTTTTTTTTTTTGTTTTTTTTTTGTTTTGGCGTGACCCCCCTCCTACTTTGGTTCTTCATTAATAAAACCAGAAACACTCAAAGAACACTCCGCATGATTGAATTGTTCTTAGCACCGTGAAAAGGTTCTTCAGACTGATGTAAAATGAAGATGGTTCTAGAACTCTTTTGGAAAATGTCCTATATAACACCAATAAGGGTTCCAGTAAAATGATCTGCCAATGGAATAAGACACTTTTACTAGATAAAATTACTTAAAACAAGTAAAAATGTCTAGAAATAGGCTAAATAATCTTATAATATGCCTAAAACAATCTCAGAATGAGAAATATCAGATATACTGACCACATTTAAGATGTTTTCACTTCCTAAGATGCCATTTTTTGCAAAGTAGCTGAATTCAGAGGGACAGTCTGTAAAAATGATATCTTATCAAGTGCAATTATCTTAAAGCGTGTTAAAATACCTAAAATGTCTCATTTTAAGATTGTTCTAAGCTTATCTTAGATTATTTCTAGATGTTTTTACTTGTTTTAGGTAATTTTATTAGATAAAATTATCTCTCTACACTCTGAAGGGTACATCTCAGTACCTTTAGTCAGGGAACATAACTGAACCATAATCCACTGAAATGATATGTTCTAAGCTGTACTGACTCCACGCACCCCGTCTCGTCTCCAGGACTTTATTTTACTGTTCTGTTTTAAAACATTCGGTTATGAAAAGGTACAAATACGAACTTTTCACCTGGAAAAACTTATTTAAGGTTCACAATCAGACCTTAAAACCACTGTTGTACCTTTGAGGGAACATTTACACTGTTTGTACCTTGATGAACGAAAAATGTACCTGAACAGAACCTTTATTTCTAACAGTGTATATTGACAGACAATTTTGCTTATTTCAAGAAATACTGTATCAATGAATACTGTGAGATAATTTTACATAATGAAGTCCCTTAAAACAAGCAGAAATAAGCGAAATAATCCTATAATAAGTTTAGAACAATCACGAAATGAGAAATTTTAGATATTTTAACTACATTTAAGATAATTTCACCTGTATATAGGGACCATTGATTGGGTCATGGAAGATAACCAGCATTCCTGTCAGCAGAAATCTGTAAATGAAGTTGTGCTCAATGAGGCTCTGGCTCAGCAGTGCCGGCCCTTCAGCCTGCAGAGCTGAGAATATGTGAGCGGAATGGCTTCGCATTCCAATTCCAAAGTGCATATTTAGCTCTAAGTGAGAGCAGCGGCATGTATATTTAATCAGGGGAGCTGGGCAGTGCTGTCCCTCGGAGTAAAGCCCTGTTTCCATCCCAGAAATGACTTCTCTATCTCTTTCTTTCCTGGGGAAGGAAGCCAAAGGTCACCCAGGGTCAGCGCCACCAAAGATGACGTGACAGATCAACGTAAATTCCGAGAAGACAGGAAATTTTGTTGGGAAAACCAAAGCCATCAGATTCCCGTCTGCAAACTGCAGGGCAGCACGCATACAGTATACAATTTATTATTGATTTTCATATCGCTGTTATACAGCAGCCTGAACGTCTGATGCAAAACTCTGTATATGATCTGACAGTTACTGCGGTGTCAGCGTTCTGGGGTGTGTGACTATATTGACCGGTATGAGCTCCGGCCGGGTCGGACAAAGAAAATGCCCTTCTGCTGCTTCTACTGTACATTTCTGTATATTACTGTATGAGGGTCATTCTAAAGAAACGTCCACTTTTCTATCTCTCCATAGGAGTCACTGGTGTTACTGATCCTCACTGGTGTTACACATAATAAAGGGAACACCAGAGACATTTTAATGAACAATGCATTTTACAAAATGACTACAGAGCATCAAATCACATGTTGTCAATCATGGAATATCCACTAAAATATGTAATTTAATCCATTATTCTATTTTTTCACAGTTACCTCAGAATAAAGTCGGTCACACCAGTGACTTCAGCTAAAAGCTTCATATGAAATCATGAGCTAAATGAGAAAATCTCTGATAACTGAAAGACTCAGTGGACTCACCATGAGCTTTTCTTCATAGATCCTCAGAAAACAGGTAAAAGGAAGTCGAGTGATGTCATCAGTGTGACTTTTATTTCAAAATAAGAGATTTTTGTTACACAGTAACACCAGTGACACGACTCCTGGGGACAACAACTTTCATTATATATTTTATAATATTTATCTGGCATTTGTTTTCTTTATGTCATTTAAATCATATATTCCACAGTCATGTAGAGATTATTTTAGTTAAAATTGCAGAAAAACATGTTTTTTCTTCAAAATATGGCCTCAGCCTTTACACACGACTGTGGGGACGAGCTCTTCTATGGTGCTTGGAATTCTAGATAATTGATTTAAAAACCAATATTGCTGAATTGAGGCTCAAGAAGGTGTAACTGTTAAAATAACTTGTTGTTTTATTTTAAAATATTAATAAATTTTAACCCTAACAAGGGTAATATATCTATAAACACTAGGGACACAAAAATGGACATTTCTGTAGAATGACCCATATGTCTGATACAATTTCACATGAAATCTTCAGCTGATTAAATTTTTTGGTGCATATTTGTGATGTTGACCATGGTTCAAACGTTTGGAATCACTGTGTTCATTCATACAAAAGATACATAATACATAAAATACAGATTTAGACACATACGAGATACGATTAGTTTAAAATGCAACAACTTTACAACTCTATAGGTTTAATATGAAGCTGTAAATATATAGAAATTTTATCGTCCAGCATCAAGAATGCCTCATAGTGGTGATTCAAACTTGAGCCAGATAATTTGACAAGAAATTAATGCAAATAGATTTTGCATCTTTGACTTTTGTATCAATGCATCTTGATGTATGTGATGTAGAAGACTTATATGTTTCTTTTATTTATTTATTTTTTTTAAAGACACAATTACAAAATATTTTGTCGGACATGTACTGTAACATGCAATTTCATTCCATGAGATGATGACATATTAGGTTCAAAGATCGTGTATCACTTTTAATAGATCTGGCATTTTAGGGTTAATCATTAATTTTTTGCTGTTCTTGAAAAAAGTCTTTAAATATTGAATGAAAGATCTTGAACTATCTTCTGGTTTTTAGCTCATAGTATTTCACTCTACATTGTATAAATATTACTTAAAAAATAACAACTATTATTAATACAACAAGTGATTCCAAATTTTTGAAAGGTAGTATAAATCTCTGACCTCACAAATTCACTTTGATTACAATTCCTGAAAAGACTCGCATCATGAAATCCAAGATTTGGTTCAATTTGATTATTTCGCTACAATTTAGATTTATTGTTATAACTATACTAAGTACACAAATGTGACTGAAGGACTAAAAGCCTAAATAGCCAAAAAAAATAAGCTGATACTTTATTGAACATTATTATAAGCGATTATGTCAATAAGTGTAGTTTAATCACCACCTTCAGATGCATTTATACCCCAGACTGTCAGAAGAGGGGTTCAGCACAGGTACACAAACAATGTAAATGTGCGAAAACAGTGTTTACCTTACGAAACTATTATTCTTTTTTGTAAACATACGCTCATTCCAAACGTCTAAATGCCTGAAGCACGTTCCAAAGACACTGAGAGCATGTTTACACTGTGTTACATCACCTTTCCTTTTCACAGCATTTACTCATTGCTTGTGGACTGAATACACAAACTGATCCAGTTTTAAGAGCAGAATTTTCGCCGTTCTTCAGTTGTATCAGCTGTGTAACTGTACGGCCTTTATTGTCGTATTTTGCACTTTATAATCCACCACATGTTGGAGACGGGCAGGCCAGTCTAGCACCCGCACTCTGATTACGCAGCCATGCTGTTGCAACACATGCAGAATGTTGTAATAAGAACAAATGTCCCTGAAAAAGACTCCATCTAGAACAGGGTTTCTCTATCACTGGGCTTTGGACTACACATAGGCTGCAAAGCACCTTTTGGTGGTCCTCAGGTCAATACTGAGCGGTGGGTGGTGGTTTAGACTTTACAATAAAAAAGAAATATTAAATGTTTTCAAAACATAAACAAGATTAATACAAGCCCTGCTACAGTGGTGAAGGCACTCTAAGAAACAAAATACACTTCCCCCAATATTTGTTTTTCTGTGTGCCTTTATGCTTTATACAGAAAAAATAAGCATTGAGAAGAACTGGTCTAGAACTGTTCTCGAAGGCAGCATATGTTGCTTCAAAATGTGTAGATATCTTACAGCATTAATGGTGCTTTCAAAGAAGTGCAGGTTACCCACTAATACCCCCTCATACCATGACAGATGCTGGATTTTGGAATGGTTCTTTTCCTCCTTAGCACAGAGAACACAAGAGCCATTATTTCCATAAACAACAAATCTAAATGGTTGACTCAACAGACCGCAGTACACATTTCCACTGAGCATCAGTTCATTTCAGATGAGCTTGAGCCCAGAGAAGTCGGCGGCATTTCTTATATGACTTCCACTGTGCATAATACAGTCTCATCCTGCATTTGTGGATGCAGTGACGGACGATGTTTATTGTCAGTGATTTGTCAAAGTATTCCCGAGCCCATGTGGTGATACCCATCACAGAATCATGCTGAGTTTTAATGGAGAGCCGGCTGAGGGGTCAAAGCTCACGGGCATTCAGTTGTGGTTTTGCCCTTTACCACTGATGTTTCTCTGGATTCCCTGAATCTTTTGATGATGTTCGGCACTGTAGAGGGTGAAATAGCTGAAATCCTTGTAATCAATAGTTGAAGGAACATTGTTCTTAAATAGTTGGACTTTTTGCTGATGCATTTTTTGCCTCATGAAGGACTCAGAGTTTCCTGGATGCTCTTTTTATACCCAAACATTTTTGCATCACCTGTTTTCGACAACTTTTGGTTCATTTTACAGTGTAACTAGCTGTTTTTTTGGAACATCTTGCAGGAATCAGCTTACAATGAGCTTATCTCAACATACAAAAATATATATGTCATACAAAAATACAATAAAGTTGATAAGATAACACATTGCATATCTTGTCTTTATACTGTTTTAGCTTAAAAAGAGTTCAAAGTGGATTTACAAATTGCGTCTTTCTGTATTTAATTGCATTTCAAGTACTGTCCTAACTTTGAAATTGAGGTTGTGAAAGCTTACTACCCGGATAAATAGCTTAATATACACTGATCAGGCATAACATTATGACCACCTCCTTGTTTCTACACTCATTGTCCATTTTATCAGCTCCACTTACTATATAGGTGCACTTTGTAGTTCTACAGTTACAGACTGTAGTCCATCTGTTTCTCTGCATACTTTGTTAGCCCCCTTTTACCCTGTTCTTCAGTGGTCAAGACCCCCATGGACCCTCACAGAGCAGGTACTATTTGGGTGGTGGGTCGTTCTCAGCACTGCAGTGACACTGACGTGGTGGTGGTGTGTTAGTGTGTGTTGTGCTGGTCTGAGTGGATCAGACACAGCAGTGCTGCTGGAGTTTTTAAACACCTCAGTGTCACTGCTGGACTGAGAATAGTCCACCAACCAAAAATATCCAGACAACAGCGTCCTGTGGGCAGCGTCCTGTGACCACTGACGAAGGACTAGAGGATGACCAACACAAACTGTGCAGCAGCAGATGAGCTATCGTCTCTGACTTTACATCTACAAGGTGGACTGACAAGGTAGGAGTGTCTACTAGAGTGGACAGTGAGTGGACACAGTGTTTAAAAACCCCAGCAGCACTGCCGTGTCTGATCCACTCGGACCAGCACAACACACACAAACACACCACCACCACGTCAGTGTTACTGCAGTGCTGAGAATGATCCACCACCCAAATAGTACCTGCTCTGTGAGGGTCCATGGGGGTCCTGACCACTGAAGAACAGGGTTAAAAGGGGCTAACAAACTATGCAGAGAGGACAGTGTGTCATACAGTGTAAGTAGTATGAAGGCAGTGTCGTTTGCTTTACCTCGCTGTGGAGTTGTGTCAGCACATGCAGGTAGTTACTGATGCTGCGCTCCAAACGCTCCAGCAGGTTTAGCCCACAGCTCGGCTGGCTCTGAGCCTGCGCTCGCCGGACATCCTGCACCAGAGAACCCAGAGACAGCAGGACTTCAGCCTGACGCTGCCGGACCTGGAACACATACAGGCTGCGTGAGCGGAGTACAGGTACAGTACGGTGGGTGAGTGGGAATAAAGGGGTTTTAAAGCGTTATATTTCAAATGTACATAATGAGCAGAAATGTTGTTGATCAGTCAAGACATGTTTGGGGTCTGAAGTTTGCTTCTTTTGTTTTACACTGTAAAAAATCATTTAAATTTTAAGTTAAATTTAGGTTAAATTAACCTTAAGTTACCCATATGGAAAACTATGTATTTATCAAATATATTTTTGTAAGGTATGAAAATGGTCAAATAATGTATTTGTTAAATATATATTTTTAAATGAATTTTAAATGTATTTTCCAAATGTATTATCAAATATATTTTTGCAGTGTAGGAAAATGGCTAAAATGTATTTGTTAAATATATTTTTTTAAATGCATTTATTTATATTTGAATCTTTTTTTTTCAATTTTTTTTCAATTTTTTCAATTGTATGTAGTTTTAATAAACTTTACATATATAACTAAATATACATGAACTGATTGAGTGATACTGACTTCTGTGATCTGCACTGTACTTTACATTAACCGTGTACGTCATTTTGCTCTTTACTGCTTTGCACTGCTGCAATAGAAGAATTTCCCTCTGGGATTATTAAAGTGGTCTATCTATATGGTTCTATATAGAACCAAAAAGGGTTCTTCTACGGTTACAAACTTGACGTCATCCCAATAGAAAAATTCCTTTTGGTGTATAGAACTATTTCAAAAAGCTCCCTTATAGAACCGTATACAACACATTCTCCATCAATCTGAAGAACTATACACGACTTCACCATGCAGAGAACCCCTTAAGCAGGCAAATGGTTCTTTGAGTGTTCACGGTTTGATATAGAACTATAGTCTTTTACTAAAGAACCCTTGAAGAACCACTGGCAACACTTTCTATGAATGTCACCTTTGTAAGCATCTATAAACACAATTATAACATGTTATAATGTATTCATAAGGCATTATAAACATGGTTATAAATATTTATAAAAAAGAATTACACTGAATAACACTTTATAGTCATGTTTATTATACATTATGAATTGTTAATATAATGCATTATAAATAGTGTTAATAACATGTTATAATGTCAGTGCCAAAGAAGTCAGTCCCAGCTTGGAGAGCGTAAAGTAAAGACAAATACCAAGCTAACGGTGGTGTACATTACCTTTCCCACATTGGGTAAAACACTGATGGCAGCTCTAGTTTAAACTCTGACATTTGAAGCCTGTAATGTGCTTTATTGTGTATGTTTTAGTGTTTCAGTAAATCCTTCAGTAAATACTTCAACTTGAAGCCTCACTCTGAACACTGGAGGAGGCTTTAGTACAGTACGCTTCACTTTACTTAGAGCGGACAAATACGACTTATGAGCTCTTATAATTTGCTATGATCAGTACTTATAATGTATTATGTTAACAATTCATAATGCATAATAAACATGGCTATAACGTATAGTGCATTTTTATAAATATTTATAGTTATGTCTATAATGTCTTATGAATGCATTATAACATGTTATGAATGTGTTTATAGATGCTTACAAAGGTGACATTCATAGAAAGTGTTACCGAACCACATTTGGTTAAATAATAAATGTACATCTAAAAATGTTTCCTAAAAAAAATTAAATATTCAGAAATTCTAAGCATCTCAGGAAATTATTCCATAATCTTGGACTCTGCAGGCGGAGCCACCAGCCGTGGATCCAGACCTCAGTCAGAGAAGCTGTAATGAGTGTTTGAGGAAGTAGGAAATCCTGCATTTATAAACCGAAAGACTCTGAAAGTGGTTAGAATATGTGCAGTGGAATTCTGGACACACTGTACTCTCTGTGTGCTCTTATTTGGAAGACCAGCCAGGAGAGCTTTACAGTAATTTAACCACGAGGTCACAAACGCATGAATCAGCTTCTCAGCATTGCACTGAGTCAGAGAGTCAGAGAGATCCTGAGTCTCGAAACGTTTTGTGGTCCCAGAGAATACAGTATAAAATATTACACCAACTGGCCACTTCATTAAGTCCACCTCCTTGTTGCCACGCTCATTGTCCATTTTATCAGCTCCACTGACCATATAGTTTCACTCATATAGTTTCAGACTGTAGTCCATCTGTTTCTCTGCATGCTTTGTCACCCTGTTCTTCAGTGGTCAGGACCCCCTCGGGACCCCCACAGCGCAGGTATTATTCGGGTGGTGGGTTATTCTCAGCAGTGACACTAGCGTGGTGGTGGTGTGTTAGTGTGTGTTGCGCTGGTGCAAGTGGATCAGACACAGCAGTGCTGCTGGAGTTTTTAAACACCTCAGTATCGCTGCTGGACTGAGAACCAACAGCGTCCTGTGACCACTGATGAAGGACTAGAGGATGACCAACACAAACTGTGCAGCAGCAGATGAGCTATCGTCTCTGACTTTACATCTACAAGGTGGACTGACAAGGTAGGAGTGTCTAATAGAGTGGACAGTGAGTGGACACAGTGTTTAAAAACTCCAGCAGCTCTGCTGCGTCTGATCCCCTCGCACCAGTGCAACACACACTAACACACCACCACCACGTCAGTGTTACTGCAGTGCTGAGAATGATCCACCACCCAAATAGTACCTGCTTTGTGAGGGTCCATGGGGGTCCTGACCACTGAAGAACAGGGTGACAGAGTATGCAGAGTGAAACTACACAGTCAGAGGAGCTGAGAACAATTATAAGCTTCCATCATTTATTAGCTACATTATCCTCATAGAGCCAGTGCTAAAACTAAATGAGCAGACTTCAGACATCACACACATCTTGGTTGATTGACAACATTTGGGGTAAGCAGGGTTGGAACTGTGCACTGAACTATCGCTTTAATGACTCACAGACTTCTTTGCCCAGGTGGCTTTATGAACTCTGATGCAGGGCAGTCGGATTGGAGAAGGGAGGGAGGCCGCAGCTCCGCAGTCCACCTGTCAGAGAGGACAATAAAACACCCAGAACAGATAACGAGGTGGTCAGAACGTGAAGAGTCAGACCAGGTAGATAAGACTGTCGGAGAGATGAACCGGATGGCTTAGAGCGACAGTGACAGGCGAGCGAGTTCGCAGAGAAGAAGAGAAGCTTTAAACGTGAGGAAAACGCGGAGTGACGCGTGAGGGAGGCAGAGCCGAGTAGAACGAGGGACCACTTTGTACTGTAACTCAGTCATGTTTCTTTAGGGAGAGAATCTGCTGAGACCGGGGTTTATTTTCAGAGGTGCCTGTTAAACAGAACCAGGAAAAGCACTGAGAATATAACTATAAATAAACATGCAAAACCTAAACAACACAAACGCAAATATACAATAACAAACGAACAAGACGGCTCCCAATTTTGTTTTTATGATTTATTATTATTAAATTTGAATAAGGGTCATTCTACAGAAACGTCCACTTTTCTATCTCTCCATAGGAGTCACTGGTGTCACTGATCCTCACTGGTGTTACACATAATAAAGGAACACCAGAGACATTTTAATCAAAAATGCATTTTACAAAATGGCTGCTACAGAGCATCAAACCACATGTTGTCAATCATGGAATATCCACTAAAATATGGAAGTTAATCCATTTGTATTCTATATTTTCACAATTACTCAAGAATAAAGTCGGTCACACCAGTGACTTCAGCTAAAAGCTTCATATGAAATCATGAGCTGAATGAGAAAATCTCTGATAACTGAAAGACTCAGTGGACTCACCATGTGCTTTTCTGCATAGATCCTCAGAAAACAGGTAAAAGGAAGTCGAGTGATGTCATCAGTGTGACTTTTATTTCAAAATAAGAGATTTTTTGTTATGCAGTAACACCAGTGACGCGACTCCTGGGGACAACAACTTTCATTATATATTTTATAATATTTATTTGGCATTTGTTTTTTTTTACCTCAAAATCTGGCCTCAGCCTTTACACATGACTGTGGGGACGAGCTCTGGACGTTTCCGTAGAATGACCCATAATTATTTTTTCTATGAGATGAAAACACTGCATACGCCCTTTCTGGGCATCTTTCACTTTCCCTGCACACTCTTGTTTGTTTGTTTTGGTTGCTAGTTTTCTTTTCTCTCATGTAAACAAAAATTAACACGCTTATATAGATGTAAATATGTCATTTTGTTATTTTTAAGGCTTTTTAAAAGGAGGTCCACTTCATTAATGCTGAACATGAAGTAGTCAGATCATGAAGTAAGTCAGTATTTATTAATATTTCTCTACTACATTGATTTTTGGGTATTTTCTTATATATTACATCAACTGATATCCTTAAATGTCTGTGAACAAAATTCAAGAAAATATTTCCGTTTAATTCCTGCAACCATGCAAAATATTTTAGTTATGATTTTTTAAAAGTCCTCATCATTCATCAGGAGTTTAACAGCTTATATAATAGCTTAGCTTAGCTTTAGCTTATAGAATGACAAAAGTGAGTTTTAACAGGTTGTTAATATGACTAATAGCTGTTAATATAACTAATAATAATATTTGAGAATACTGTACACTCTTTAGGAATACGTTTTCTGTTTTTGCATAGTATTTGTGCATTTATTTTAAATTTATCAAAGTTTCACAACTAAAAGTTGATTTTCTTGACGCTATTTTTCAGAAAATTTATCATTCCTGTTTTTTTTCTAAATAAGGACAGTTTTATCTTATTATCATATCAAAAACAAGAGATATGTTATGACTTAATTTAGCAAAAACAATACTGAAAACTGACGGAAAGTCAGTTTTTTAAAAGTGTTTAATATATTAGCTAATATTTCAGCTAATATCTGAAATAAGTAAATAAGTTCAGGTGAAATTCCAGTTCATATTTTTGGTTCAATCATTCTGTAAACAACTAAACTGAATAACTGAGATGTGATTTAGAATCTAGAGGGACAAACTTAATTAATTAATTTAAAAGGTAGCAAAAAAGTTTTGGAAAACACCACACGCTGCAAAATATTGGAATACATGGCATGATTACAGGAACTTTTGTTAAGATTTTATTGTAAGATTTTGTTTGTGTAAGTTTTACATTAGGTTTTTGTTTGAAAGCTTTAGGTTTGGAATAACTCATGTAATAAAGTCTTAAATAATGTGGTAAAACACAGAGGACAGATTCTCTCCAGTGGTCAGTAACGGTCTGCATGTTTCTGTTACAGTCAGTGAACTGATTAAAAGAAATGACAAAACCTTTTAAACTGACAGACAGATTAACCTGCTGCTAATTAAGAACTCACCATGTCCTCTTCCAGCTCCTTGACCTTGTTCATGACCCTCCTGGCCTCACTGTCACACACAAAGTCCAGCGGTTTGGATTGAACCTGAGGCAGTTCAGAGACGACCATACTCAGCAGCACAAGCAGCACCTCTACAAGAACACAGACCAAACAATGAAGGATAAACATCAGAACTTCATTTAGGACTCAGTAATACTCAATAACACTCAATAACACTCAATAGTACTTAATAACACTCAGTAATACTCAACAATACTCAACAATACTCAATAACACTCAGTAATACTCAATAACACTCAATAACACTCAAGAATACTCAACAATACTCAATAACACTCAGTAATACTCAATAACACTCAATAACACTCAAGAATACTCAACAATACTCAATAACACTCAGTAATACTCAATAACACTCAATAATACTCAACAATACTCAATAACACTCAGTAATACTCAATAACACTCAATAACACTCAATAATACTCAATAACACTCAATAATACTCAATAACACTCAACACTCAATAATACTCAACAATACTTAATAACACTCAGTAATACTCCATAATACTCAACAATACTCAATAACACTCAATAACACTCAATAATACTTAATAACACTCAGTAATACTCCATAATACTCATTAATACTCAACAACACTCAATAACACTTAGTAACACTCAATAACACTCAATAATACTCAATAACACTCAATAACACTCAATAATACTCAATAACAATAATACTCAATAATACTCAATAATAATCAGTAACACTCAATAATACTCGATAACACTCAATAATACTCAATAACACTCAATAATACTCAATAACACTCAATAACACTCAATAACACTCAATAACAATAATACTCAATACTACTCAATAATACTCAATACTACTCAATAACACTCAATAACACTCAAAAAATACTCAATAACACTCAATAACACTCAATAATACTCAACAATACTCAATAATAATCAATAACACTCAATAACAATAATACTCAATACTACTCAATAATACTCAATACTACTCAATAACACTCAATAACACTCAATAATACTCAACAATACTCAATAATAATCAATAACACTCAATAACAATAATACTCAATACTACTCAATAATACTCAATAACACTCAGTAACACTCAATAATACTCAACAATACTCAATAATAATCAATAACACTCAATAACACTCAACAACACTCAATAATACTCAACAATACTCAATAACACTTAGTAACACTCAATAACACTCAATAACACTCAAGAATACTCAACAATACTCAATAACACTCAGTAATACTCAATAACACTCAATAATACTCAACAATACTCAATAACACTCAGTAATACTCAATAACACTCAATAACACTCAATAATACTCAATAATACTCAATAACACTCAACACTCAATAATACTCAACAATACTTAATAACACTCAGTAATACTCCATAATACTCAACAATACTCAATAACACTCAATAACACTCAATAATACTTAATAACACTCAGTAATACTCCATAATACTCATTAATACTCAACAAAACTCAATAACACTTAGTAACACTCAATAACACTCAATAATACTCAATAACACTCAATAACACTCAATAATACTCAATAACAATAATACTCAATAATACTCAATAATAATCAGTAATACTCAATAATACTCGATAACACTCAATAATACTCAATAATACTCAATAACACTCAATAATACTCAATAACACTCAATAACACTCAATAATACTCAACAATACTCAGTAATACTCAATAATACTCAATAACACTCAATAACACTCAATAATACTCAATAATACTCAATACGACTCAATAACACTCAATAACACTCAATAATACTCAATAACACTCAATAACACTCAATAATACTCAACAATACTCAATAATAATCAATAACACTCAATAACACTCAACAACACTCAATAATACTCAACAATACTCAATAACACTTAGTAACACTCAATAACACTCAATAACACTCAATAATACTCAATAACACTCAATAACACTCAATAATACTCAATAACACTCAATAACACTCAATAATACTCAATAACACTCAATAACACTCAATAATACTCAACAATACTCAATAATAATCAATAACACTCAATAACACTCAACAACACTCAATAATACTCAATAACACTCAATAATACTCAACAATACTCAATAATACTCAATAACACTCAATAATACTCAACAATACTCAATAACACTTAGTAACACTCAATAACACTCAATAATACTCAATAACACTCAATAATACTCAACAATAACACTCAATAACACTCAATAATACTCAATAACACTCAATAATACTCAATAATACTCAATAACACTTAGTAACACTCAATAACACTCAATAACACTCAATAATACTCAATAACAATAATACTCAATACTACTCAATAATAATCAATAACACTCAATAATACTCAATAATACTCAACAATACTCAATAACACAGAGACACGCAGCGACACTGAGAGCAGCGCTGAGCTGTGGACGTCAAAGCCACATAAATCAAATATTAAACAAGGAAACTAAAAGATTTTATCCTTCAGTTTACTTAACTTTTGCCAGTGACTGTGCTGACGTAATATACTCTATTATACATCTTTGTTCAAATGTTTATAAACACAATAAATATATTCAGTGTAGCACTTTTTCAGTGCATTAAAGCTGCCACAGTAAACACTGTCTCTAAACAATACATGTGTTTTAGTGTAAATAGTTAATAAAGGATCTGACCAAGTCAAAATCCAGCTCTGTAGAAATGATCGACTCTGTTACCAAACAGACTCAGTAAATCTACTCACTGCTCAGATCCATGCCCTGTTAGCCCAGCACTCCAACATTACGTTCCGTTCCACTCCATTTTAAAGAGAAAGTGAGGAATAACCCGGTTAAACGTGCTCCTGTCCACCATTTGACCTGTCCAGCACATCGCCCCCGCACTCTCTCAGACGTTTTTTATCTGTCTTTCCTGTCACTCACTCCCCCGAGTTAAAGGAGAACACAGAGAGAGGCCTGTTTCCTAAACCCTGATAACACAAAACAAAACTAGAGGGACACGTAGTGAGGCAGATTAAAGGGAAACTCCACCAATGTTCCAAAACTGCATGATTAAGTGGTTAAGATGTGAAGAGAGTCATTCAGAGTGGTTTGGTGTGGTTCTAGAGAAACTTACCGAGTCAGAACTGTTCACAGTGGTGGTGATAGGAACCAGATGTCCACCTCTAAAAGCTCCCTCACAGAAAGTTACTACATGAAATGGTTATGAATTCACTGCCTGATCACTGAGACACTGTTTTATGATAATCTTGAGCAGATTTTGGCCTTAAAATCCATTCATGGTGGAGCGATACATGCAGGGTGTTGTGAGGCAAATTAGTCCCCAAAGAAAACTTATTATTCCAGATTTTCCACTATTTTCCATCATCAATTTTCCATATAAACTCAGAAGACTCGTGTAGGTTCACTGGTGGTTTTGGATAGTAAATAAAATGTCTATATTTGTGTTGTGGTCATGGCGACCCCTGGTTCCCATCACCACCACTGTAAAGACATCTGAACCATTTCACACCAAACCACTCTGAATGACTCTGTTTATAGCTCACACACTGAGTTATGCAGAAATAAAAAAAAAAAAAATCAGTGGACTTCCCCTTTAAGAGAATTATATAAATTAAAACTTGTCCTTTAATCATATAACAAAAGCCCAAATGAAGTCAGACTTTTCTTTTTGTTTTTCTGATCATTATGGAACCACGAAGTGTAACATAAATACTCTATAGAGGTTTAAGCTCAGTGTTGGTCAGCAGGTAGAGCTAACAGACTGTGCTGCAGTGTCCAGCATGGTCTTTGCCCTCAGTGAGGACACTTAAACATTTGTTTTCTCTAAATACACAGAAATACTGACCAGATGAAAGAGATTAAACACACAACGAAGTAGAACAGACAACAAAAGTGTTTACTACACCTGATTAAAGAGAACTGCTGAAACACAGCTGTGGAAGCTGTACTGTTTATACGCACACACATCTGTAATACTTAAACAACTCTAAGAAGTCACAGTTAATACCAGTGGTGACATACGCTTACTGTAATTTAATATTATATTATATATTATATAGCTCACTGAGATGAGCAGATAAATTGTGTGTCTAAACATTGAATCCACACCACATTTATGTTTATAAGTAGAATAGGAGATATTTTATTATGATCTGAAATTGATAAAAAAAAAGATTGTCCCATCATGTTTTAGAGAAAGTAAAACTTACATTTTGGCATTTATTGTCATTATTTGACTTTGATAAAAACAAAAAAGTGGGAAAAAACAGAATGTAAATTAAATGTATCTGTAATTTCTTATGTAACTGTGTAATTAATAACAACCCCATATCCAAAAAAGTTGGGATGCTGTGCAAAATGTAAATAAAAACAAAATGCAATGATGTGCAAATAATTTAACCCTATATTTCATTGGAAATAGTACAAAGACAACATCGCAAATGTTGAAACTGAGAAATTGTATTGATTTTTGAAAAATATGTGCCCAATTTGAATTTGATGCCAACAACACGTTCCAAGTTGGGACGGGGGCTGGTAAAGTTGTGTAATGCTTAAAAAACACACCTGGTGGTTGATTGGCAACAGGTCAGTAAAATCACTGGGTAGAAAAACAGCATCTCAGAGAGGCGGAGTCTTTCATAAGTAAAGATGAGGAGGGGTTCACCACTCTGTGAAAGACTGCACAATCAAATAGTGCAACAATTCAAGAATAACGTTTCTCAACGTAAAATAGCAAATAACTTTTGCTTTTTATCATCTGTGGTACAAAATACCATTAAAAGATTCAGAAAATCTGGAGAAATCTCTGTATGTAAGGGACAAGGCCAAAAACCAGTATTTGCTGGCCGTGATCTTTGGGCCCTCAGACAGCACTGCATTAAAAACAGACATGATTCTGTAGAGGAAATCACTGCATGGGATCAGAAACACTTCCGAAAAACACTGTCTATGAACACAGTTCATCACTGCATCCACAAATGCAAGTTAAAACTCTAAAACGCAAAGTAGAAACCATATATAAACAGGATCCAGAAACGCTGCCACCTTCTCTGGGCCTGAGCTCATTTAAAATGGACTGAGGGGAAGTGGAAAAGTGTCCTGTGGTCAGACGAATCAACATTTGAAATTGTTTTTGGAAATCATGGACACTGTGTCCTGTGGGCTAAAGACCACTCAGCTTGTTATCAGTGCACAGTTCAAAAGCCAGTATTCATGATGGTATAGGGGGGCATTAGTGCACATGGCATGGGTGGCGTGCACATCTGTTAAGGCGCCATTAATGCTCAACAACATATACAGGTTTTGGCAACATATGCTGCCATCCAGACAACGTCTTTTTCAGGGAAGGCCTTGATTATTTCAGCAAAACAATGTCAAACCACATTTTGCATGTAGTACAGCAGCATTGCTCTGTATTAAAAGAGTCCGGGTGCTAAACTGGCCTGCCGTCCAGACCTGTCACACTGATAACATTTGGCACATTATGAAATAATAAAATACGACAAATGAGACCCCGAACTGTTGAGCAGCTGAAATTGTATATCAACAAGAATGAAAAACATTTCATTTTCAAAACTACAGCAGTGTCTCCTCAGTTCCCAAACACTTAGAGAGTGTTGTTAAAAGAAGAGGTGATGAAACACAGTGGTAAACAGGCCCCCGTCCCAATTTTTTTGGAACGTGTTGTTGGCATCAAATTCAAAACGGGCCTTCATTTTTCAAAAAACAATAAAATTTCTCAGTTTCAACATTTGATTTGTAGTCTTTGTAGTATTTTCCTTTAAAAATATGGTTTACATGATTTGCATATCATTGCATTATATTTTTATCCTGCACAGCGTCCCAACTTTTTTGGAAATGGGGTTGTATATAAATAATAAGATAGTATAGAAAAACCTCTGATAGTTAAAGAAGAATGGGTCAATAAACTGATTATGTTTAAATATGTAGACACTGTGGTGTTGAATATGCCATTAACTATCAAAAATAAATTCCACCATTTTTTTCTAAATATAGCCATTTTATTCACTATCCGAAACCTACACATGACTACTTTGGGGACTACTTTGCCTCACAACACACTGCATATTATGTATCCCTCCACCATGAATGGATTTCAAGGCCAGAATCTTCTCAAATCCATCATAAACAGTGTCTCAGTCATCAGGCAGTGAATTCATAACCATTTCATGTAGTAACTTTCTGTGAGGGAGCTTTTAGAGGTGGACGTCTGGTTCCTATCACCACCACTGTGAACAGTTCTGACTCGGTAAGTTTTTCTAGAACGGAGCGTTTCACACCAAACTGCTCTGAACGACTCTGTTTACATCTTAACCACTTAGTCATGGAGAAATTTTGAAATGTCTGTGGAATTCCCCTTTAACTCATACAGTGCTGAATTAGCTCTTATACTATTAACTTCGGCCTTGCAGTTGTAACTCTGTGTGAAGTGAGCGGTTAGCGCTGTGTGACGTATAAGGGACAGCAGTGCGGCCTCTGAGTGCTGAATCAATGTTCGGTCACTACGTAGCAGTGGACAGAGTCTCAGCTGTGAGACGCTGCTACAATTCAATTGGAAAAGGAGAAAATGGAGCAGATGTCAAAGCCTCTGTAATCACGCACAGCTCCAAGGGCATCACACACACACACACACATACACGTTTGTCTTGCTATACATATGAGGACGTCCATAGGTTTCTATTGATTGTTGTGTTACTGTAGCTAAATAACACTACACCTAAACCTAAACCTAACCTTAACCTCAGGATCCAAAAGGCCAATTTTCAGCCCTTTTAGTTTTCAAATAAAAAAAAAAGTAATTGTGGTGTAAACAACACATGTTCAAGTGAGGAAAACTTGAGCAAAAAATTCATACAGTCCTATCATAGTGAGGACATGGGGTCCTCACAAGTATAGCAATACAAGAACACACACACACACACACACAGCATTAAAGGACAGGTTTGCTGCTTTTTTTCACCTCAAACATATTAAAACGGGTTAAAACTGTTCCAAATCATGCCTGGAGCGCTGTATTTAAATATAATTACTGCATTTCACTGAAACACCTCATTTGATGCGACTGTAGATCTGAATACTCGCATTTTGCACTTTTTTGTTTCCCCAACAATATCTGACTTTTTGCACAATTTACTTCACTTTAACAATGTTTTAACAAAATGCTTTAACAAAACTAAATACTGTGTACTGTATATTGCTGCTCTGGTTGCTACCTCAGTGACTGCTATGTTCATTTGTGTTAGCCTATCTGCTAAGCTGCTAGTATGTCATAGTATGTTCCATCCTCCTTTGCACAGCTCCACACACTCTCAGTACCATGTACACTCTCAGTACACTCTCAGTACCTGTGTTCTGTTTGTATTTATTGAAAGTCTTTCGTATTTATTTACTGTACTGTATTGTCTGTTGTGTTTATTGTATTGTCTCACACTTGTGTTCCTGTATTGGTCCTGGAGGAACGTTGTTTCGTTTCACTGTGTACTAGAGGGCAGTCGTGGGCTGGAGGTTAGGGAACAAGCCCTGTGACCGGAAGGTCGCCGGTTCGATCTCCTGAGCCAAAAGTACGTGACTGAAGTGCCCTTGAGCAAGGCACCTAACCCCAACTGCTCCCCAGGCGCCGTGGATAGGGCTGCCCACCGCTCTGGGCAAGTGTGCTCACTGCCCCCTAGTGTGTGTGCTCACTAGTGTGTATGCGGTGTTTCACTGCATGGATGGGTCAGAATGAGGAGGTGAAATTTCCCCGTTGTGGGACTAATAAGGGTCAGTTAACTTGTAAATAGCTGAAATGACAATAAAGTTGACTTGAGTTGAACTGTTGCTTCCTAACATTTATAATATTGCACAGCACAAGTTCACTGAGCTCTACTGTTGATAAACCATGACACTCCTCTGCGGCTTCACACTGGCCTTACGCCTTTTGACTTTAGCTGAGTCCCA